AAAGGGGTCATTTGGGAGTGTGTACTATCCTGGCATTTCAGGGCCACCAAAACTGTGGTAAGTCGTGAGCAAGTGACATAAGACGCTATAACTTTCACACAAACCAACTTTTTTTAACCAAAGACATGTAGCAGAATACATTTTGGCCTACATGAACGACTAAATTTGGGGTTTTTTTATAACAGAAAGTAGAAAATATTGGGTGTTTTTTCAGAATTTTCAGTCTTTTTTCGTTTATATCACAAAAAATTCAAAACCCAGTAGTAATCAAATATCACCAAAAGAAAGCTCTATTTGTGTGAAAAAATGACATAAATTTCATTTGGGTACAGTGTTGCATGACCATGCAATTAGCAGCTGAAATGGCGCAATGCCAAATAGCAAAAAAATGGCCTGGTCAGGAAGGGGGAAAACCATCCGGGACTGAAGTTGTTACATTTACAATTTTATGTTAAAAGTGACTTTTCATTTTCTCCCCACATTTTCCAAAACTTGTGGCAAAATATGAACTCTTCAAAAGACTCACCATGCCACCTAAAAAAATTACCTTAGGGTGTTTATTTGCCAAAATGTGGTCTATTTGTGGATGTGTCTATTGTCCTGGTGCTTCAAAGCCTCCAAAAATGTGATAGTCAGGAAATCAGGAAATCCTGAAGGTGGTGCTCTTTGGATGTTGGGCCTCTCTATGCATTTAGACAGCAAAAAACTCACCCCACTCTTACTAAATACCTTGGACTGTCTACTTTATAAAAAAGGGTTATTTTGGGGGTGTTTTACTGTCCTGGCATTTTAGAGTCTCAGAAAACTATGTAGCATAATACATATTGGCCTAAGTTTAGGCAAAATATTTTTGTTTGTAAAGTGTTAACAGAAATTAAGAAACTGTTTTATATTTTGAAAAGGTTTCAGTTTTTTTCCTTTTATATAGTAAAAAATATAAAATCCAGTGGTGGTTAAATAGCACCAAAACAAACTTCTGTCTCAAAAAATTATAAAAAAATGTATTTGGCTACAGTGCTGTACGACTGAGCAATTGCCATTATAGTATGAGAATGACAAAAAATTAAAAATAACCCGGATATAAGCGGGGGGGTTTACTATGCCGTTCATCAAGTGGTTAAGGCTGCCTGGAGTGGAAATGTATTTATATATATTTAACAGGAAAACTTCAACACAAAAGTTCCTTTATTTTGGTCAATCCTCAGTTTACACATCCGTGTACAGGGCTCAATAGCCAGGTCTTAAGACCCCCTACTCCTCTCAGACATCTTTCTAGATGTTTTAGAGCTTATGAGCAGATAATATTTGCTTCATCAGCACACGCACTCTGGACTTCTTGGAATAACCCATAGACACCCTCTTGAATGACCCTTAAAATTCCAAGAGCCTGTACAGAGGACACATCCATTAGGTCTTGTACTATATTTATATCTATATATGCTGCTGGGTGCACATCCTTTGCATGGGCTTTAGCTAGTCATATACATTACACTGAGAGCAGTGAAGGCTACTGAATGGTACAAGATTGCAAATATCCCTGATCTACTTTTGTTTTGACAGATTAGCTGTATGAGTACTGTTTCACATTCATCAATTACTGTCAACATGTAAATATATATGAAGTATGTCTGAAACAGCAGCCAACACTCAGGAGCTAATGAGGAGAAACAGCATGTCCAGAGTGTTAAGAGTAGGAACCCTACCAAAGCCAATAATGTGTCCAACTGAGAAGAGTCTTTGAACATCTTCAAATATATACATTTTTTTAAATGTACAAATAAAACACAATGTTTAATGTTTTCTTACTGTACATATGAGATTAAAGTGTATCTAAAGCCAAAACCTTTTTTTTTTCCTTTTATGTATAAGATGGATACTTAAGTTTTTTTGGGAGGAATTTTCCTTCACTTTCTGTCCAGGATGATGAAGTGAGAGACAGATGTCCCCTCTGGAAGATTTCCCCTTACAGCTCTAATGACAATGGTCACCAAGACAAAAAGAGAGGAGGGGACTTAGACATATAGTTAATAGTTTGTCCTGTTGCAAAAAGACACAAGTCCATCCAGTTCAACCAACAGAAGTTATACAATCCTATATACAAGCGCTGCATAAATTGATGGCGCTAAATAAGTACCTGAAATAAATAAATAAATAGACACAATCCTATACCCTCAGTTGATCCAGAGGAAGGCAAAAAAAACCCTAATAAAGCATGGTCCAATTTGCTCTAACAGGGGAACAAATTCCTTTCTGATCCCCCAGAGGCAATCGGATATACCTTGGATCAACTTTACCTATGAATAGTAGTATCCAATTATATTTTGTATATCTAGGGAAAAATCCAGACCTTTATTAAAACAATCTACTGAGCTGGCCCGAACCAGCTCTTGAGGGAGTCTATCACTATTTGGAGATTAAATTTCTTTTCCTCCAGAGTTAAAAAGTGCCCCCTTGTCCTCTGTAATGACCTTAGAGCAGTTGTAAAGGCTGAAGGCATGCTATGTATGAAGGTAAAAAACCTTCTGTGTGCAGCAGAGCCCCCAGTCCCCTCAATACTTACCTGAACCCCATCGCGATCCAGCAATGTGTGAATGACAGCCTCGCTGTCCCGGGTCTCTGCCTCCTCATTGGCTGAGACAGCAAGTGGGAGCCATTGGCTCCCGCTGCTGTCAATCACAGCAAATCAGCCAATGAGAGAGAGAGGGGATGGGGCCAAGCTGCGGCTCTGAGTGTGAATGGATACATGGAGCAGCAGGTGCCTCCATAGCAAGCTGTGTGCTGTGGGGGAACCCGAGAGGAGGGAGAGACCAGGAGAGCCTGTGGGGGACTCCAGAAGATGAGGATCCAGGCTGCTCTGTGCAAAACCACTGCACACAGTAGGTAAGTATGACATGCATGTTATTTTCCAGAAAAAAAACCCTTTAGAATCACTTTAAAGTGAATAACTGTACACTGAGTTTACCATATGAACCACTTATGTATTTCTACATTTTGATCATATCCCCCCAGGGCCACCTTTAATATTGATGGGACCCTGGGCAAACATTTTCTTGCCCCCCCATGAAATTCTGCTCTCCATTTTCTCTGAGACATACAATAAATAGCAGCTAAACTCAAAATCACTTTGCTCAGCAGATCAGGCAGCAACTGCAATTGATTGCTGGAGGTTAGAGCATATCATTACCACTCACTGACTGGTTGATAGAGGTTACAGCACACATTAGTGTTTAACGGTCAGTGTTTAACCAATACCGATAACATGTATCTAATGGAGGAGAGTACCTAAATATCTTCAATATATATATATATTTTTAAATGTGTAAATAAAATCTACTGTTTTATTTTTTGTTTACTATACAAATTTGATCAAAGTGTATCTAAAGCCAAAACCTTTTTTTAGTATGAGATGAGTAGGGAATGATTACACTTTTTTTATTTGGCGGGGGAGGGATTTTCCTTTGCATCCCATCCTAAAGACACATGATATCATTTTACCCCTGTACAAATCATTAGTAATACCTCATCTGGAATATGCAGATTAAGGGGGGATATGATCAACATGTATAATACATAAGGGGGGATATTATCAACATGTATAATACATAAGGGGGGATATTATCAACATGTATAATACATAAAGGGGATATGATAACCATGTATAATACAGAAGGGGGGATATGATCAACATGTATAAATACATCAGTGGCTCATATAGTGAACTCGGTGTAGAGCTATTCACCCTGAGGTCATCACAGAGGACAAGGGGGCACTCTTTACGACTGGAGGGAAAAAAATGTAATCTTCAGACATGGAAAGGTTTCTTCACAGTGAGAGCTGTGAAAATGTGGAATAGACTCCCACAAGAGTTGGTTCTGGCCAGCTCAGTGGATTGCTTTATAAAAGGCCTGGATTCTTTCTTAGATACACAGAATATAACTGGATACTAACATTTATAGGTAAAGTTGATCCAGGGAATATCCGATTGCCTCTCGGGGGATCAGGAAGGAATTTTTGTTCCCCTACAGGATCAAATTGGATCATGCTTTGCTGGGTGTTTTGCCTTCCTCTGGATCAACTGTGGCCATAGGATTATAACTTTTTTTTTTTTTTATGGTTGAACTAGATGGACTTTTGTCTTTTTTCTGCCAGACTAACTATGTAACTATGACGTGATAGAAAACAGATATCCCCATTACAAGATTTTCCCTCATTCTGATTTTCCCTCATCTTCTGTTCTGATGACAATGGTCACAAGGATAAATGCAGAGGAGGGGACCTAGGTAATAATACAAACCTGACAAGGGTTCTAATGAACACTCTAACAACAACTTAAAACGGTAGTAAAGTCCATTTTGCAACTTTTATCTACAGGTAAGCTTATAATAAAGTTTACGTGTAGGTAAAATATGTCTCCTAAACGTGCACTGTTTAGAAGATATTCCAGCGAGCAGCAACTGGTCATGTCACCGAAGCATGCGCTCTGAAGGAACGACATACCTGTGCCTTCAGAGCTCTGGGCCGTGCATGAGGCTCCCACACGCATGCACAAGAGTGACATCATCACAGCTCGGCCAATTAGATGGCCAGAGCCCATGAACCCAGAAGAAGGCAGAGGGCGCTGCTGGAGGGATATGTTCTAAGGGTAAGTCTGACATAATGTGCTAGTGTGCAGCGCACACTAGCACATTATATTCTTAGATTGTAAGCTCCAAGGGGCAGGGCCCACCTAACTCTCTTGTATTGAACTGTATTATTGCTGTATTGTCTCCCGTTATATTGTAAAGCACTGAGCAAACTGTTGGTGCTATATAAATCCTGTATAATAATAATAATTACAGCTTAAACCTGCAGAGGGACCCCTTTTTTGTTACCTTTACTACCGCTAAAAAAAACAGTTTGGACTATTGATATACTGTTAAAAAGCACCTACATATTTAGTTAATTCATATTGATAATATTGAGTTATAATAATGTAATAATATAGTAAAATATTCTATTCTTGTTTTCAGTTTCTATCAGGATTTTGATGATCCTAGCTAGCCTGAACAGTTGTACCAACCCATGGATCTACACCATCTTCAGCAGCAGTGTTTCCAAAGATGTCCAAGCCATCCTGTGCTGTGCTTGTAAAAAAAGACAACGCAAAAACTCTCTGCCTGAAGATTCCTGTTTTACTGGTTCCACCTCGTTACCCAAAGAGTCCCTGTACTGAGCACAAAGTGATAGACATGCAAGGAGATGGAGGCACTGCAGTCCAAGGTCCCAAAGAAAAAAAGGACAGACAGAAGATCTGTGGCAATAAATGGGGAAACAAAGGTGAAAAAGTCAGATCTACTTATCAACGATTTAACTGTGTCACTAAAATATCTAAGATACAGTAAGTTAGGAATAAGCCACTATGTGTATACGAACAAGCTTCTTTCTTTTTTAGACTCTTCGATCAAACTGCACCTTATCAAGTCAATGAATGTGACAACAATGCATTTGTTGTGAAATGCTCTAGGTACCTATAAGGGTGCTTCATACAGACTTATACTTGTTGCCAACAACACTTGTCTCATATGGGACACTGATGGACCCATGTCAAATTATCAAGCAACATTTATTTTGAAGAATGATCTATCGGAAGCTGTCATGTTTAGAACTGAAAGGCACAGCAAATTGCTTAAATGACATCTCAAGAATATTATTACTCTATTTTCGAAGGCCAAAATTAAAATCTTCATCCGTTTTCTATTTTCGATAACTATGCGTTCCTAATTCCCGTGTTAAAGAGATGAGTTGAGTAGGCTCTTTGAAGAGTCTACTATTTTTTAGACTTGCTTATAATGTAAAAAGCTAAATCTGCTTAAATATTTATGTAATATAAGAGAATATGAATGTATAATTGATTTCTATTTGTAGTAAGATTATGTTTATACTGTCATCCACTCACTGAATAATATAAAATGTACCTGTTAGAGGAAACATTAACTTGTAAAGAAAGGAGATAGCACTTTTTAAAGCTTTTCAATCTTCTGAACGAAGAACAACATACTCAAAGAGGTGGCGGGAGCTTTTAGAATTGTACATGTAATAAGATGAAAGAAAAGTTCACATAAGCTCAATAGCTCCCACACAACAAGGCTTCCTCTAATGGGCTCTGACAAAAGCTCAAATTATAGAAACACAGAAAGTAGCTCCAGATCAAAACCGGATGAAAAAGTCCAAGAGAATTTTAATGGTTGAATAAAAAAAGGCATAGAAAAAGTCATATGACTTTTTACCAACAGTTAAAATTATCTTGGACTCCTTCTTCCAGTTTTGGTCTGGTGCTCCTTTCTATGTTTCTATGGCTTCATTTTCTGAACCAAGACCTATATCTCATATACTAAAGATTAATCCTTCCTGCACCTTGTGTTTTTCACCTGCATGAGATGTACATTGATTATGTCGTTTCATGGTGTCATTTGTTGCTCTGTATGCATAGCTTATAGTAGAGTAAATCTTAACATTCCGGCGTCACACGTTTCTGTTTGTGTTCAAACATGAAGCATGTGGCATGGCACTGCACAGGTTAATACATGACCTCTGCCTGTAGTCTGAGAACTGACATTTCCTGTGAATAAACTACATATCCCACAATCCCTGGGTCTCTCAGTCTAGCACTGGTGCAAGTGCAGTAATTAGATCTGACACAGAACAAGCAGGCGGAGAAAAATAAAAGAGAGATCACCATGCAGCCTATCATCACATTAGCACTCCCACATTTGTGAAGCAACACAGAGAAAATGGCAAGGCATGCATTGGTCGCAGTGTGACCCGGAACAAGAAATTTCTTGCCCCTTTAGCGAATAGGGAAAAGCTGGGTGAATGAATACATGTACATTGTCATATTGATCAGCCATGACACTACAAACTGCAGCCAAAGCATGTGAACCCATCATTACAACCCCCCCCCCCTCCCCCCCCCCCCTCCCCCCCCTCCCCCCCCGGTAAGGTAAACAAACCAACAGGGACTATAACTAAACTCATACTGAGTTAAAACAACAAAAACAATTGAAAGTGTACAATGCCTTTAATAAATAAGTCACACCCAAATACAAGTAAAACCTTCAATAGTGAAAAAGCTACATTTTAAAGCAAGCCATTCAGTAAAAAAAATGCTTAGACTCCACCTCCCTATCTAAAATCAAGTGAAACCTATAAAAAAGGAGAAAAAAGTGCAACATACAACACAGACTTAGGCTTCCAGCCCACTTGCCTAGGCTGAGTATCATTACCAATGCCAAGGCAAGTGGTCTGTAAGCCATTGTCTGTGGTAAGTATCTGTGGTAGCATGTCCTTTATTCTCCTAATGTTTTTCGGTGAGGGTGGGGTTACTAGAGAAGGGTTAGATAAGTTCTTACTTAAAAGGGAAGTATGGCCAAAGCTTTTTTCGCCATACTTCTCTTCTGGGTCACAGGACTGCACTTGCTTGTGCTCTCCTGTGACCCTGAATCAGTAAGAGAACTAAAGGCCACTGTTGGCTGACATCATAGAGTTGCTCCAGGCTCTGGAAGGATCCCGACCATATTGTCAGGACCCAGCCAAATGCCTGATTGGCAGCTGACTTGCCTCTCAGCACTGTGCTGAGAGCCTGAACCACCTGTTCCTTCTCCCTCCAGAGCCCAGCGCTCCATTGAGCACTGGAGGGGCTGAGCAGAGAGAGTTGACTGACAGTCACCACTCTCAGCAACTAAGAGAACAGTGGCGATTGGGAGTGAGCTCTCATCAGCAGTGAGTCATGCTTGTCAATCACCAGAAAGTTGGAAAACTGAGCAAGGCACCCAGAGAGCAATGAGTGAACAGAGAGCAACTCTGGCTTAAAATGGCAAGTTCCTAGGTATGCAAATCTGGGTTGGCTAGCTGAAGGTGCTGCTTCTCTTCTCCCAGTCCCTCTATGCTGTAGTCTGCATGCACATGTATGGTATCTGCAATCTCTTGCAGCAAAAAAAAATGGTTGTTCACAGTAGCTCCAGCAAAAGCAGCAAGTAAATAATTGCTACTGCTCAAATGGAACAATTATATTAAAGAGACTCTCAAAATTGCAAGTAAAAACACAGAAAAATAAAGTATTTTAAATAGGTTTTTGCAATGTTTTTCCTTTCAATAAAGGATATTTTATTCACTTACACTTTGCCTCTAAACTTGCAAGCAAATTTTACTTTAGAAAAAGTCAATTTCATAGCACAGACCCCTTCCTACGTATCATAACCCTGTCCTCTATTGGGAGAGTTTAATTCCTATCTGTGCTGGCCCAGCTTCTGTACCCCACCCCTCATTAAGTCCCTTTTATGTAGCAGTCAGGGATAAAGGTTAGGGGAATATATATATATATATATATATATATATATATATATATATATATATATATATATATAGTGTCCTTTGAGTGACAGCTCTGTCTCTGCTGGGGTTGCTGATGTCACATTCGGGATGGTGGCACCCAGCAGCAGTCTCAAGGCTTATGAATGTCTACACAAGGGGTCTTTTACAAGTAAATGACATGCATAAGGTATGTTAAATGTACATATAATATTATGGGAAGATGGTTGTTAAACTAGTTGTGTAGCCACAGGGTTTCTTTAACACAAACTACAGCTGGGGTCAAGCTATAGCCATTAAAGTATTTATATATTCTTAGCAAGCAGTAAATAAGCTATACAACAAACCTTCGCTGATCTCTGTAGATGCAGGCACTGTGGAGCAATTAATTCTCAAATATGAGGGCAGAAGCACTGAAGGCATTCAGATTGTTCTCTCTGCAGATCAACTCACTCTGATCTACCCTCCCAGCAATGACTCAGTATATAGTCATATTGAATAAAAACAAAATGTCCATCTAGTTCAACCATTAGAAAAGATAGAAAACCTCCATATGCAGACTCCTATGCACACAGTCTGGAGAAAAGCAAAAAAAACATAAAGCATGATACAATTTACTCCAATGGGGGAAAAATACATTCGTTATTGATCCCGTGAAGGCAAATGGATATTCCCTGGATCAACTCTGGTGTTATTACCTATGTAGCTGGGTGCAGCTGAGTATCAGCAACAGGGAGGGTGAGTGGGGCAGGAGAGCACAAAATCAGCTGCACCCAGCTACACATATAAATGTTGATATCCTGCTCTATTTTGTACATTTAGGAATACTTCCATCTCTTTTATAAAACAATCTACTGAGGTGGCCAGAACTAGTTCTTGAGGGAGTCTATTCCACATTTTCACAACTCTTACTGTAAAGAAGCCTTTTTCGTTCAGCTTTCCCTGGTACCTCTTTCAGCAGTGACTTAGCAGCCTTCCAGCCTTCTTAATCTCTAATGTAAATACAGAGCAGATAGGGTTGTGGGGAGATGAATGCCGTGTCCAATGTTTCTTCTGTCTGAACATTACAGAAGAAATTTTCCATGGTGCTTGGAGCTACATAGGTAATTTTAAGCTCCCTAGCACGTGTAAATACTTGAATGTCTATAGGTTGGCCACAAATTTACAACATTTTCTTTAAAGTATTTGTAGATTTTTATTGGTTTGATCAAAACAATATACCAACAATCGTATAACGTGAGGCCTTACCTAGACAATTCATTCAAATGATACTGAGTCAGGTAGAGCCAGCTTTAGAAGACATACCCCACCTTCTCCTTTAACTTAAAGATCTACCGCTAACCTTTCCAGCCCATGTATAAAAAAGTATCCCACATATCCAAAAAGTTTAGCTATTAGATTTATGTGACTTTTCTGAGCTGTCCATAAGCTGCCATTGGAGACAAAGGGGGAATTTGTTGGTTCCCAATGTGCTTTTTTTTGTGATGTATAGTGGTCACAAAACTAATTTACTTGGAGCTATTAAAGTGCAAAGACTTGCAGAAAGGTAAAGCTAACCCTCAACCTGTGTGTATTCATGCCTATTTACAAACAAGAAATAGGTTAATGTTACTTTTTGGGCATGCTTTGTTTTTTGTCCTGAGATGAAAGGGCATGGGCTTTAGTTGAAATGTTCAAAATCTCAGTTTTCTGACCCTATGAAATATTGTAATTAGTGCAAATGTTACTTTTTTCTTAATTTAAAACTGTGGCAAATAGAAAAATGAAAATTGCCATTGCTGACTCATTCCTGAAGGTTCATGCTTCAGTGCAGTCCTATTTGCCCTTGCTTCACTAATTAGTAGGTTTTCTGCACATCCAATAAGC